AAGTCAACTCCAAATAGATCAAAGACCTCAATGTGAAACTTGAAACTCTGAAACTGTTAGAAGAAAACATTGGCAATAACCTCCAAGATATAGATATAGGAAAGGATTTTCTAAAACAGACATCAACTGCCCAGGAAACAAGGTCAAGAATCAACAAATGGGACTTCATTAAACTAAAAAGCTTCTGTACATCAAAAGAAACCAAGGAAGTGAAGAGAACACCTAGAGAATGGGAGAAACCAGCAACAAGTGCATACCACAGGTTAAATAGGCCTGCATCAAACTTAAAACAACAAACAAACATAGGAGAAAAATCTTTGTGATAGGGCAAAACAAACAAACAAACAAACAAACAAAAACAACAACAACAAAAAAAGACGTATGTTCTCCCTCATATGTGGATCCTAGCAAAAATCCTGATAAGTGATTATGTATACAGACATAACTACATGAAGCAGGATAATGAAAAGGAACTAGGGAGGTAAAGGAAAAGAAAGAATCCGAAATAGATGAACAGTAGAAAACAGGTGTTAATAAGGGAGATATAGATAAAAATGCAGTTATTTTAAGGGGGGGAGGTTATACAAGGAGTCTAGGGGGTAAAGGGAAAGAAAGCGCTCAAGAGAAGTACGATCACAGGAGAAGGGTCGTAAGGGAGAAATGGGAAAAACGGGGGGCACCCTAAATGGGAAAACCATGGGCGAAGGGTTAGACAATGTGAGAGATAATGCCTAGCTAGTTTTAAAAAACCAGAGGGAACCATATTTGTCCAACAACCTACTGACAAATTATAATATATCTAGGCAAGGTTGATCTGAGAGCGTTTGGTTTTTGCCCAAGCTCTATCTACATGGCACATAGTAATTAAAAGTACCAGACCAGGGAACTAACGTTCATGGATGTTTAACAGCCATACTATGAGGCCTATACTAATTTGGACAGAGGGACATAAAGGACAGTTTTTGCTCCTTTCCCTCCTAGGTCGACTAAGTTCCAGGGGCCTATGAGCATCTCTCAAAATGTCCTGTAACTGTGGTGAGTCAGCTGTCCTCTTGATCAGGGAGGCAGTGGAGACCCCACCAGATGGACCTGAACCAGTGTCCAGTCTACAAGGAGGAGGGTCAACACAGAGGAAACATTTCCTCCATGCTTCCAGGAGACACCAGCCATGGTCGAGCAGGACCTTGACAAGGATTAATGGGGTCAATATAATTTTTTAAGAGTCCATATGTATAGCTAAAGGCTACATAACAAGAAACAATCCCAGACAGGAGATACCTTCCTTTGAGTTATTGGCTAGGGTTGTCCAAATGACTCCCAGACAGTAACCCAGCATAAAACTGGGAAAATGAACAAAAGTCCTCAATCTTTTTTAAAGGAATATTGACAACTGATTGCTGCTAACTGAGGAACAGCTGATCTTCCTAAAACAAGGATCTCTAGATAGGCTGACTAGATTCATCAGATGGACAAGCACTGGGGAATGGCTGGGGGTGCTGACAACACAGCGGACAGTAACAGGGGTGACAGAGTATATGGGCGCTAGTGTGTGAGACGGGGGAGGCTATGGGAAGGTGCCATTTGGGAAGTGGGTATACAGATGCATAAGACTGTGTGGGATGTTCTGTATGATATACACACACACAAAAAAAAATTAAATTAAAAAAATGTATTTGAAGAGGAAGGATAAAAATTTACTTCATGTTAATTAGTAGAGGTGATAAACGTTACCATTGAAATCTACCCGATGACTTTATGATTAAAGACATTTGCAAACATCTAAGTATTAGTAGCATTAAAAATGTAGGAAACAGCATATTAGAAAATGAAATGGAGATCTTCTTTAAAGGGTAAAAACTCATTCAATTCTATGTCTTACAGGGTTTATATCACGTTCAATATTGTATAACCATATTAATTCAACTGTGAACCTAAATTTTACAGCCACTTTCGAAAGAGATATATCCTTGCTCTGGAAATTGTTACTGAATATATTAAAGCTGTAATGAAATGCTTCTTCTAATCATGTGGTTATTAAAGAAAAAAAATGTTAAAAAAGAAAATCCTATCGGCTTTCCTTTGGGCCTTGGCCCCATCACGCTGAGGCTGCCTAACAGCACATGATTAGCTGGGACAAGTGTACCTTTCACCTTTCATCAAAGAAGCTTCCTTTTATAGATGAAGACTATTAAAGTTCCAGAAGTGGTCAAACACAGAGAACAATTAATGACACATCTTCAATGTAACCTCTACTCACAGGATGAATTCATCTCTTAACTCTCTACAAGGAAGATTCCTTATGCAGCAGATGGCCATCAACACAGAATTTTCACGTATTTCAACCCTCTGCCTCCCAAGTCTCAGGAATCATTGTGGAAGAGAAGGCAAAAAGATTATAAGACCAGAGTGGGTGGATGACCACAAAGAAAGAGTCTTCAGACAGCTGGTCAGTTACTCATATGAACTCACAGCAATACAGACAGCATGCACAAGTCCCATGAAAGCTCAAACCAGACAAATTCCCAGCATAGACATAAGAGGGCAAGAAGTCCCAATCCAACCTAAAGAACTTTAGGCATCTGACAGCCTAAAGACAGGAAGGGGGAATGAAAGTTGTCTTATAAGGATGGGATTCTTGGTGGGCCCAGAGGAGGGACCCACACTGAAGGACATTTGTGGATACAAATCACTCTATAAGGCATATTATGTATGACAGTATATTAAATTGGGAGGAGGGCAGTGGGGGGAGTTGTGGAGAGGGGAAAGGATCTAAATAGTATCAGGCTATATTGTATCAAAATAGTGAATACTCACTTAAAAAATATGGGAAAAAGAATGGCACAACTGACAGAGAAAAGGAAAGCTCACAAGATCCTGATAAAGGTAATTAACACTCAAGAGCTGTGATGCTTTATTCTGTCAACCTAGTTAGGATTGTAATACTCAGATACTTGGTCAAAAACTAGAGGTTGTGGTGGAAGTATTTTTGTGAGATAATGAATAAATACTTAATCCAATATTTAGTAGAGCATATCATCTTTCAAAATGTAGGTAGACCACATCAAATCAAAGGATAGAAGAGAAGAATGAAAGTCTACAGACTGTCTGAAACATCGACCCTTCCTTGATTCTCCCACCTGCTGCACATACCCTGCAAAAGTCATGTGTCAACTGTGGTGGTTTGAATGAAAATGTTCCCCCATAGGCTCCAAGTATTTGGACATTTTGTCCCCAGTTGGTGACACTGTTCAGGGAGGTCTTAGAAGGTGTGGCCATGCTGGAGAAAACCTGTCACTGGGGGTGGGCTTAGTTGAGTTCTTAAGCCTTGCTAGATCTTGAGTTGCTCTCTTGCTTCCTGTGCCTGCTTGAAAATGTAAAAGCTTAGCTTCCACTCCTTCTCCAGCCACCTCGGCCACCAAGCCTCCCCACATGATGGACTCTTGCCCCTTTGGAACCATAAGCTAAATAAACTCTTCCTTTCATAAGTTCCCTTGGTCATGGTGCTTCTATCACAGCAACGGAAAAGTAACTAATACATCAACCTATGAAATCACACAAATCAGTTCCTTAAAATAAATCACAATGTAACAGTGACCTTGAAAGTATGGCCCCTACAAAATTAAATTTTTCCCAGGAGCTCCTAACCTGGAGAGAGAAGCTGAAGCCCTGGGTCTAAAGGAGGAAGAAGAGACTTCATGAAAGGGCATGGTGGTGCACGCCTTTAATCCCAACACATGGGAGGCAGAGGGAGGTGGATCTCTGAGTTTGAGGCCAGCCTGGTCTACATAGCAAGTTCCAGGCTGGCTGGGGCTGGGAAAAAAAAGTTAATTATACCGGAAAGGCAAAGAAATTCCTTTTCCTCTCCCAGGTCTAGACAAAACTGTAAATAAAGTCATTTTCTTTTACTAATTCTTATCTCATGGTTGTCCTCTAGTATGGTATCAAGCTCTGTTCACATCTATCCTTTAAGTTGTATCAATATACACACCACCCTATTGGTTTTGTTTCTCTGGAGAAGTATGACTAATACAATGGCCCATACAAAACAAAACACACAGAAATCTAGAAAAGAAAAGAGATGAAGGGGAGTTGGCCTTTGAAGCCAGTTGGAAGAGCTGCTTTATCAATAAAATATGGTTTAAAGCTGAAACGCTACAGGTATCTCTAATAAACATTAGAATTTATTATATGCAATACATGAATTGAAGTACAATACTATGTTATTTTCCATATGTGAAAATGATGCTAGTTGTCCTGTACCTTTACGCAAACTTTTTTTTAAGCTGTTAAATCCAGTTTCTGTGGAGTTTTGTCAATCCAACCGCACTAATACCTATTTAGCTCTGTGTATTATGACCCTATAAACAGGTTCCTGGAGACTAGAATAATGATTGTGAAATAAAACTAGTAACTACAACTTTTCATAGCAGACAGTGCTATAAACAACTGTTCTAGTCAGTCAACAGGCAATTACTACCAATGTGGGACCTTTATTTTCCAGGCATTAGAAAATTAATGAAAAGCACTTAAAGATTTTAGAAAGATCAGGGGCAAAAAAAAAAAAAAGAAAAAAGAAAGAAAAAAAATGTCTAACAGCATTAATCAGCAAGGTAAGAGAAGGTGATCCCAGCACCCACATGGCAGCTAACAACCATCCATAATGCCAGTTCCAAGGGATCTGACACCCTCTACTGGCCTCTGTGGGCAATGTACAACACCAGTGCACACATGTAGGCATAACACTCAAACACAATAAAAAAACCTAAAATACAGATGACAGAATGTATGAGTTCCAGTGGGATGGGGGCTATAGGAGGGTACCAATGGGGAGGAGGTATAAAGATGATTAAGATGTTCTGTATCACATACACAAAAATTCAATTAAAAATTATAAAAAAAATTTTAAATGGGCCAGACGTGGTAGCACAAGCCTTTAATTCCAGCACTCGGAAGGCAGGCAGATCTCTGTGAGATCAAGGCCAGCCTGGTCTACATACTGAGTTCCAGGATACCTGGAACAAATCCTGTCTCAATAAATAAACACATAGTGGCAGTACAGGTTTTTATGACTGAATAATGTATACTCAGGGTTTCAGATAACATGTAAATATTTACAAAACACTTAAATTCAACTTTCTATTTACTGTTTTTGTAAAAAATTCAAATTTTGGGGGCTGGAGAGCTGGCTCAGTGGTTAAGAACAGTGACTGTTCTTGCAGAAAACCTGGGTTCGAATCTCAGCACCCACATGGCAGCTAACAACTGTCTGTAACTCCAGTTCTGGGGCATCCGACAGCCTCCTCTGTCCTCCGCAGGCACTGCACAACATGGGTGCACTTACCTACATGCAGGCATAACACTCGTACACATAAAATAAAAAATAAATAAAAATTCAACTTTTTAAATAAATATTTATTACACAACTTTAATAGAAAGCACTACAACAGATACTGAGAATTCTACAATTAATCTCTACCTTTACAGAGCTTTTAGTACTTACAAATTTCTTTTACTTAAATATTATTAACTGTTTCTCATACCAGTTCTCTTACGTGAAATAAATGAGTACAGTACACTTTCTGCCACAGTGGAACACATAATCCAGCAACAATGTAGTATGCAGCATAAGTACTTCTATTGGCTTTATTTTTTTCCTCAATTGTAAATAAAGAACCAACATTACTATTTGCAAACTGCAGCAGCAGTTTCTGCTTCTCTCAGGCTGAAATCTATGGGCACACCAGTGCCTTATGTGTCAGTTTCTAAAAATCAAGACTGCTAGACATTATGAAAAAAAGTTTAAAATACACTAAATATGTTATTCTGTATTCCTCTTACCTGTGTTGTGGTATGTATCTACCCATCCCCCATCGCCATCATCTTCTTCGATGATAGCTTCCAATTCATCTGAATACTCCATCTGCTTGCATCGTTTGTAGCATGGCACTATAAAAAAAAATGGCAAATATAATTACCAGTTCAAAATCCACTACTAATAATCTCAAAACTTAATCAATACCACCAAGATATTAAGGGAGCCTATTTCACTTCTAATGAGAGAGATAATTTAATAAGAGTTACATTCATCCCACAGATACATAATTATTTGTTCACATTAATCCTTCCCTGAGCAGCTTTATCACAAGACAAGTAGAAAGGCTCTGGTGAGTAGTCTCAGTATTCCTGTACCATAACAGTCTCTGAAGAACAGTTGGCTGAGGCCAGATGACACTGCTCAACTTCGAACTAATAAATCTTCACACTAATGGCTTTAGTTTCAGAACATGAAAATACCACCTGTCATACTCAGAGGTGGTAGAGGTGACCTCTGAATTGCAAGGTTAAGGTAACTGCCAAAATAAATTTCATAATTCATATTTAAATTATTTACAAGACATAAAACATTAAAATTCAATAGCTAATTTTACTTCCTTATATAACACTGGTGCCAAAATTTTCAAATACCAAATGTTATCAATGAACAAGTATTATTATTTTATAAGCCTAAAATTGACATCACAAAGTATAAACATTAATAGTCAACAAACTATTAATTTCCTGATTATTTAAGATATAAATTATCAATACTAAATACATTATAGGAAAGTTAAAAAAAAAACTGATGGTATTTTGTTTGTTTGCTTGCTTTGTGCTGGTGTACATCAAACTCAGGGCCATGGGCTGGGCAAGTCCTCTCCCATGGAGCTAGATCCCCAACCCTTGACTTTTTTTTTTTTTTTTTTTTTTGAAACAGTCTTTTTATAGTTCAGGCTGGCCTTGAACTCACTATATAGCCCATCTGGCCTCAAACCTGAGATATTTCTGCCACTATCCACCTAGGTTCTCAGACAATAGGCGCATGACACCATGTCTGGTAAAACTGCTGCTTTTTAAATAGTTTTCCTTTTGCAGTGTGGACTAAATTAGAATAAAAGTCAATGTATTGCTATGTTATTATTTTGAGACTATCCTATTTTTTAAATGTCTTAAATCCTAAAAAATTAATACCATAAGTAAGGCACCATCTGTTTCAAAAACATTTTTGTGGGGATGGAGATGGGACAGCCATTAAGGGTACTGGCTGCTGGGCTGGTGAGATGACTCAGTGATTAAGAGCACTGTCTGCTCTTGCAGAGGGCCTGAGTTTGATTCCCAGCACTCACATGGCAGATAACAACCTTTCGTGACTCCAGTTCTAGGGGATCCAACACCTTCTCTGACCCCCTCAGGCATTGCACAACAGGGGTGCACTTAGAAACATGCAGGCAATACACCCATACACATAAAATAAAGGAGTACTGGCTACTTTTGCAGAGGAGCTGGGTTCAATGTCCAGCACCTACACTGCCGCTAACAACCACCTCTGTAACTGTATCTAGTTCCAGAGGATCCAACATTCTCCTCTGGCCTCCATGGGCACTGAATGCATGGGTGCACTTACATACATACAGGCAAAACATTCATATACATATATAAAAGTAATTTGAGTCTGCAGACAAACATTTGATGGAACAATGGAAAATAAAATCTTTACTTTTTTTTTTTTTTTTTTTTTTGGTCTTTTTGGGACAGGGTCTCTCTGTAGCCCCCAGCTGGCCTGGCCCAAAACTCACTTTGTAGACCAGATTGGCCTTGAACTCATAGAGATTCACCTGCCTTTGCTTCCTGGTTGCTGGGATTAAAGGCTTGAAACACCACACCTAGCTAACTTTGATCTTTTTACAAATCAAAGGTGGTATCTATTTCATTTTCCATGTAAAGCTACATCGGAAAAGGATTAACATCAAGTAGTTAAAATGACTATTATAATGAAGTCAACTTAAAAAAAATTAAGAGAAATCTAAGTTTTCTTAGAATCTCTTTTCCACCATATCTTGAAAATTAGAACTCTTTGCTAAAAAGAAATAAAAAGAGATAAAAATCAAAATCAATGAAGGAAAAATACTGCAGGGATACGAAACCCAGAGCTTCATTAAATTCCCAAATTTCTGTCTATGAAAAGTTTTTGGCATAGCTTTAGTCAAAATTACAATCAGTCAGTGTAAACAAGTGGTTGTTGTTATATTCATATTGTGCAAAATCTACTAATGTATACAATGATACAATTCTTACCATTTTTGGTTACCAAAAATTGTTTCCCTGTTGGTAGGTATGCCTTCACTTTCAATTCTTCCCCCGTAGCCCTTTAAAAACATGGAAAAGCACCAAAATACAAAATATATTTTAAAAATCAAATATGTAACATAAGATAGCACATGTAAATCTCACAACTACAAAATCTGCACCCTGGGAAGATTGTTTTAGGATTGATTCAAAGTTTGCCATTAACAGTTATGTGTCAGGGCATAGAAAAGCATACAATAAAATGAAAATCTATTAAGAGATATAGACATAAGAGAATTTATATTCAGTATTAGACAAAAAATAAGTAGAATAATAGAATTAAGAAACCATTGTACTTGCCTCTAAACAAAAAGAAAATGCTACCTTTTACTGAGCTAGGCCTCACTGTATAATCTCCTTTGAGACTATTAATCTCAAAGTCCTGTTCCTCCTGAGATTACCCTAAGGAACAAAAAAATCTATGACATTCCATACAGAGTAGGTGGTAGGTAAAAATCCCTCTTCCTCTAGGTGGAGGATGGGGGTTAAAGAGAGTATCATGGTAGGGGCTGAATTTGGTCTATCTGAATCAAAATTTCTTTAGGAAACCCATCACTTTGTACAATGACTATAACTAATATTTTTTAAATAGCTCCTCTTACCAATGTTTAAAATTAGAACTAAAAGATAAAAGATATTTGGATTACTACTGATATTGACAACAATAAATCTTAAGCAAACAACAACAACAAAAAAATCCCACTCACCCCACTAGTATGGGATTTAAATATAGGAGTTACAGCTGTTAACATGTGCTATTATTGATAAATTCTTAAAACTCTAAAAGGTTAAGAAATGATAATATTTCTACTTTACAGAAAAGGAAACTGAAGTTGAAAGGAGTCAGGTTGTTCAGTCACAAAATCAGAAGGCTGAGGAGTCAGGATCAAGCCAAGCGATTCCAGACTCCTACTCTTAAAGAACTCCTTCTGCAGATCAGACCCAACTGTTAACAGTTCCAAAATATTCTGGAATCTCTCATTAAGAATTTAATTCAGATTCTTCTGTGGACAAGTTCTGTTGACCAGAACTGAAGTGTCATGTTTTGTGCATTCTTGAAATTTTGCTGCCATTTCAAGCTTCATTTTAAATTTGAATCCCACAGATTTGAGAACAAGAAGATAAAGACAGGAATATCATTTGACAGCCGCCAAATCTTTGAAATAATCTCAACTATCAAATTCAATAATAACATGGCAGTGCTTGAAGTTCTGAGGGAAGAAGTTAAAGTAAGTTCATGATAACACTTGCTCATGAACATATTAGCATGGAAATAATCTGTTTCTACCATTAATTTAAAATCGTTACTTGGCCTCGGCAATCCAGCCAGAGGTGTGGGCACTGGCACAGGGTATGACTGAACTCTCAGTTAACAGTACAATGACAATCCATAAAAATAAGGGCTAGTGAGATGCCTCAGTGGATAAGGGCACCTCCTGCCAAATATGACAACCTGAGTCCAATGCCTGGGACCCACATGGTGGAATGACAGAACTAAGCCTTTGCAAGCCAGCTGTCCTGTGATGGCCACATGCAGCCGGGACATGTGCATGTCCAAACACGCTAACAAGAACTCTAAACTACTAATAGTACTGAAAAGATACTGCCCAGATATACAAGCCCCCACATTACACGAAGGTATGTATAATGTATGCATGTAAAACCTAATTTAGACAAACAGACACACATACTTTTTAAATCAGAATAGTTCTACAACGTGAACTTAATTGCTTTAAATTTAGAACAGAACTAAACAAAGAAAAGAAAGCTGATAATGTCTGATTTAAAATACATTTAGGTAAAGCCAAGAGTGGTGGCGCACACCTTTAATCCCAGCACTTGGGAGGCAGAGACATGCAGATCTCTCTGAGTTCAAGGCCAGTCTGGTCTACATAGTGACCAGGGAGCTACAGGGAGACCCTGTCTCAAAAAGACCAAATAAATAAATAAAACACTTTTAAGTAATTATTTAGCTAATTAGGTAAACACTAGTAATTACAACCTTCTCATTCAAGAACCCCAATTACAACTGCACCTTTTAAGTATACTTGAAAAGAATAACAACAAAAAAAAGGGATCTAACAGGTTGAAGCAGCTACATGAAAACAGATGATTAATCATAGGTAATTCTAGCCTAAAACAGTTCCGCCTTGCTGAGATCACTTTGAAGGAGACTTTTTACCCCATTAGTGCTTAAAAGTAATAAAACTGAATATATTTTAAAACATTTTGTATTAAATGACTTTAGTATTTAAAAGAAAAGTTAAATGGAAAAGAATTTACATCTATAATCCATTATGGGCAGTCACAGTCAATGCTTTAACTGGCATCATGAGACTTTTACTTCTTGCTAATTAATACAGACGGTGCATAATCTTTAATTTTAAACGTTTGTACACTAGGGGGCAGGAAAGATGGCTCAGTGGTTAAGAACACTGTACACTATATTTTATTTATTTTTAAAAATATTTTATTTTATGTGTATTGCCTGCATGCAGGTAAGTGCACCCGTGTCATGCAATGCCCGTGGAGGACAGAGGTGGTTGTCAGATGCCCTGGAACTGGAGTTAAGGACAGTTGTTTGCTGCCATGTGGGTACTGGGATTTGAACCTGGGTCTTCTGCAAGAACAGCCAGTTTTCAACTACTGAGCCATCTCTCCAGCCCCTCCTTTTTTAAAAAAATATTATTTTTAACACACTATATTTTAAAGAACATAAAACTTCACAAAAATCTGTTTTATCATTAAAATGTTCAAAATTATTTAACTTGAAAATAGAAACATCAAATTTATTAAACTCCAGAACATATATTTTTAAGGAACCATAAGATCAGAAAGTACAAAGGAAATTTTAGTAAAGGAAGTAAATGATTAAATATGTCCACCCTTTGTGTTAACAGAGCAAAATAAAATGTGTATCATATCATTTTCTGTCTTTATTTTCCTTGGACTATCACTAGGGTGCCACTTAATAGAAAATCTAACAAAGAAGGCTAACCTTGCCAGTCTAACTTTCATACACTGGCCTAGTCTACAAACTGCCACCATTTTGAAGCCACGCCCCTTTTACCTCTTGCTTTGCACTTGAAATTACTTACCATTGCCATGTTGGACAGTGGTGGACTAAGTGATCTCCAGCTGCCACAAACTATTGAGAGTTTGCAAGAAAGAGGAAAAAAGCAAAAAAAAAAAATTGAGTATCAATACAAAGTGACAAAATACCAAATTAATCACGCTGGGTAAGATTGATACTTAATAATCAATTAAAATGTAAGTAACACCACCCTGAAGATTTATTTTCAATTATTAAACTCTAGCATCTATAAAAACTCCATTTTAGAAGAAAAATTATTATTTTAATTCAATTTTAATCACCAAATCATGCTCAAAACAAGGTATGAAATTACTAAAAGGCAACAGATTTAAAATGTCAAAATCTGTGTCATAGTTAATTAAATATAGTTTTGCTAATGACTAAAAATTCAATGAAAATCTTTGAAAAACTACCTTTGATATAAACCTACTTCATCAAATCACAATATAGGGTTCTTCTTCCTCTTACATGATTTTTAACTAATGTTTTGTGTTTTGGTGGTGGTGCTAGGGATCAAACTTGGGGCCTTGGGCATGGTAAGGACCCTGTGGATAAGCTGTATCCTCCAGCACTCTTTTTTTTTTTTTAATTTCAATAATGACCAATGTTTTGAAAACTTCACCACACTTATAATCATTATTGAAGGAAACATAGTGCCTGACAATGGGAGAAAAACTTACAAGTTTCAGGAAAATCAATTTAATATTTCAGGAATTTCTTGTTTATGTGGATATAAGGTGATCTTACTAAAGGACACGGTTCTCACTTTTCTTAAAAGTAGAAAATGCAAGCCTGCTAAGAATACACTGTACTTTCCCAATGCTTTTATTTCACAACAAACAGCTCTGACTTAAAACTTGGTGTGACTTATGGGTTTATTACATAGTAAAAAAATTTATTTAGTCTTCTTAATTCCTTTTTGACAAAGTATATCTAACTAAAAGTCTACTTTCACTTGAGGGCAGAAATTTTATCAAATATGCATTCTGAGAATAACCTAGTTTACTTGATACAGCAAGATAAGATGTAGCAACTGTATTTCCCAACAGAAACTGTTTTTCTTCTTTCATCTAAAGCAATCTTTCTGTTATTTAAACTGGTTAGATAAGGACAAATCCCCAAATAAAAACAATAGCCCCTATCCTTCGATTTGAAGCATTTACAACCAGACGCTACTTTTAGCTCAGTGGTTAACAACAAGTAATTTATCACTAGTAAAGAAGCAATTTCACAAAATGCAACCCAAAGAAATGATTAAAAGTAAAAATTATTTAAGTATATTGCCCTCAAGCCACAAGACACTAATTTTACCTAACAGCCCCTTAAGTAATAACTATTAAAAATTCATAAAAAACTATAAAATAAGCTACTTTAAAAAAACATAGAATTGTACCATTTTTTTAAAACATAAATACTTTTACATTTCTCAGTGGGGGAAAAAGGGGAGTTAGAAATTGTCAGGTAAGAGCTCAGAAACAGTAAGAAGAAACAAATTAACAGCTGAGTGCAGTATACCATATTTATCCCAAGCAAGTCACACCTTCCCATTTTCTTCCTCCGGCTCATTCTAATCTAACTCAATCCTATAATTATGTTCTCTCCCAACCCAGCATTACATGCTTGATATCCAATTAGCTTAATTTGGCCTTAGATTTTTTTTTGAAAAAAGGGGAAATTCATAACTCAGAGATTATTGAGTGTAAGTTATTCATGTTAGGATGAATTCCCATTTTGAAACATTTAATTGGACCTAACCACCACAGATTTGGATCTCTAACTTCATTTAACCATTACTTATTTTCACACAGTAGAGACAAAGCCAAAGACTGCAAGAACAGTATGCTCTCATCTCTGCTCTAGATTTCAGATACTTAAAGGGCCATGTCTAAACCAGGCATGCATTTGGGAAAAAAATTACTAAAACCCTGAAGAACAAAACTAACTTTCATTTTGGCATTTGAAGTAGAAACTCATAACACCCAAAGCAAAACAGTCCTTTCAAGAAATGTCTATCCCAAACTCCTCATTTTATAGATGGGGAAATATGTGGTTTGGCCTGGATTTGCCTAAATTAGGAGAAATTAGAGATGGGTTCAGAAAGCAGGTCTCCTGGGCTCTTTCCAAACCTCCCAGTGTCTTCATTAAATGAAAGCAGTTTTAGGGGCTGAAATGGCTCAGCCATTCTTAAGAGCACCAGCTGGTCTTGCAGAAGACCAGTGTTCAATTCCCAGCGCCCACATGACAGCTGACAACCATTGGTAATTCCAGTTCCAGGGAATCCAGCACCCTCTTCTCACCTCTGTGGGCATAGCACAACACAGGTGCACTTTATATACATGCAGGCAATACACTCACACACATAAAATAAAAGTAAGAAATAAAATGGTTTTTAAAAAATGAAGGCAGTTTTAGAGGGAAAAAAATCAGCAAGCCATTCTTAGAACTTAGAAAGAACTGGGTCTGAAGAGGGTTCATCATAACTGAAAACTGAAAAATCAGTTAATTCTTTGGTTTAATATCACCTAATTTACAGCCACAGATACAGCCTCATCATACAACATAGTTTTACTTCACAATGTTGCATCAATGAAAACTATTATATTGCCAATGAATACTTTCCGTGTAAATTGGAAATCAAGCTTAAATAAATTCTTTGCTTTTTATTAAGAACATGGTAAGTCTGATCCAACCATAACTATCATAAAACTGAAGTCTCCAGGACAAAGTTCTCCCAGAGCAAACTACCAAAATGAATGAGAACTCTTATAATAAAGACTTGGTGGACAAGTGAAATGATTCCTCAAAACATAACCCTATGAAAAATATTCAGTACAGTTTAACCAGTGGGGAAAATAACCACAAGTTCTGACATAAAGTGAAAACATCCTGAAATAAAATCAGTGTCAAGTATGTAATATTTAAGCTGAACATTAAGAGAAAAATCACATTAAAGCACTGAACTTAGTTTCAAAATGGGAAGGTCACAAAAATATACTTTTGGTGAGGACAGACCCAAGACAAAGCAAACACTAGAGTCCACTGCACAGCTCAGTCTAACACAAAGGAGTAAAGGACAAGTGAACATAGCAAAGCTTTTCATTCCGTCTCAAGCCTTCGTTTCTAAACAAAGATGAACTATACAAAAACAAGAGAAGTGGCAAACTGAGACGTTACTGTTGTCTTCCAGGGAAAGTGGAATTTCTCTTCTGTAACGATTATAATTACCAAAACAAAATTTCACTCAAAAAGTTCAACTGTTTTTTTTTTTTAACAAAGAAGATAACCCATCCAGTCTAAAATATCTGTAAAATACAAAGGCTTCAGAAGATTGCAACACCCACCTCTTCTGGGGTGATCACACCTGTTTCCTTAAATTTTGATTCCTAAATAGAGCAAAAAGAATAAAATTAGTATTCTTTGTAGTCAATTAAAAAAAAAAAAAGTTGGGGAAGAGGAGGACAACAACTATTTGCCCAGAAGTCTCATAGACAAGGAAGAATACACACAAAAAATTATGTATAACAGCACTGTTACCTGACTACAAAGCTATATAGGTGTAAATACAGTGAGTTACATGAAAATGAAAATAATTACAGTACAGGTTGATCAGTGCAATAATAAAACAAAGCTGTTAAGAAAACATACTTTGATGTTCAGATTACAATAACTCTATAAATTATTTTACATCCCTGTAATGCAGGCAATGTTTTATTTAAACAAATATTAGAACCCAAAGATAGAAATCATTTAATATTTCCCACTATTCTCAGCTCCGCCATGAATTTTTAAAATTTTCCTTTCAACAGGGTCCTCTTATGTAGGCCAGGCTGGTGTGTAACTCATAATTCTCTTGCCTCAGGCTCTCCGAATACTGGATTTTTATGAGATGCATCAACATCACAATGCCCAGCAATCATTAAGATTTTAAAACAGTATTCTCTCCTCTGAAGCAGGGATGCTACTAACTTAATTTTTTTCTCCCTAAGTTTCAGTTATAGGATTTTGTAGTGGTCTACAAAATTAAAAAGAGCCATTTATTAACATTATTTATTTAAAAAACATTTACCACTATATGCTACCACTATGAGGCAATGGGATATAGGCCTGAAAAACAGATCAAACTCATCTTTGCCCTCAAAACAAGTTAAATTTTAATTGAGGAAGAAAAATCAAATGGTAAGAAACACCACACCATGAAGAAAAATAATTAAGGAAAATACCAGGTGATAGAGGCGAGATGGCCATCAGTAATAAAATAACTCCTCAGTTAGGGATGGGGCTTGGTGAGGCCCTGCCCTACCCATGCTGGAATTTTGACCGGCCTGATGTTGTGCAGGTCTTACGTAGGTAACCACAGACTCTGCAAGTTCATGAGTGCAATGGACCTGTTAAGTCCAAAAGATTAGAAGCAGTCCTCCTCCTCTTCCTGCAGTTAATGGTTGCTGGTGAGAACAAGTCACTTTTCTTCAGGACGGTGGCCCCTAGTAAGCTTCCATGCTACAATGGATGGCCCCCGAGATGGGGGAACACTAACTGAACTCCGAGGATTTAAAAAAGAACAACAACAAAAAAAAAGAAATGAAGTTGGGAGAGGTGTGATCTGAGAGAAGCTAGAGGAAGATGTGGGGGTGGATACGATCAAAATACAATGTATGTCTATGTGTGAACTTCTGAACAACTAAGTAAAAATATAAATAAATAAAATGAATGATAAGACAAAGGCTCAAACCTAGGGGAAAAGCATTTCAGGCTGAGGGAGCAAAAGAAACAAAATCCTAGCAGGAAGAGACTGACTGACGGAGCAGTTATTTAAACTAAGTTGGCTTATGCCAAAGCAATTAGGAAAGAGTTGTAAATGAGACTGGGACCTCCATGATCAGCCCCCCTCCCCCCAAATGACCACTATGAAGATTCTGGAGTCACTGCATGATGTCATCTAAACAAAATATGGCTTTCTAAACTGTGACTTCCTAAGAGAAGACCATCATTTCTTCCTGGGGATTCCCTTTTTTCTCTGTTGCAGTTCTTCACCTGGCAGGAATCTGTAATAATTCTCTCTGCTAACCAATGGTCAACCCAGAAGTGACTGCTTTCTTTTATACTAAAAATATATTTAATATATATACTGAAATTCTAACATTTTCATTTCAGATTGGTGAACAAGTGATTCTTCAAAACAATTCTACATTACAAATTCAATAAAATATAGCTGGTTTCTAAACTAGTTGTTACATATTCTTTTTTTTTTTTTTTTGAAACAGTTTCCCTGAAGCCCCAGCTACCTACCAGGCTGGTCTCGAACTCGAACTCACAAGATCCACCCACCACACCAGGCTAATAATATATTCTATTAGGGAACTGTTTTACATGCTCTCTCCCAGAAACTTAAAAGGTGTTAACAATCCTTCACTGTTAAAATGCAGTTATCTAGCCAGGTGTGGTGTCCCACGACTTTAATTCCAGCACTCAGGAGGCAGAGGTGGGCCAATCTCTGTGAGTTCCAGGCCAGCCTGGTCTACACAGCGAGTTCCAGGCCAGCTGGGGCAATAGTGAGACCCTGTCTCAAAAAGCCCCCCAAAAAAGAAAATAAATAAAAATAAAAAAGAAAGAAAGAGAGAGAAGATACCTAGGCAGATACAATATTCTAAAGACAATAAACATGCAATAGAAGCATTTGATTGCAATGACAAAATCATTTTCCATTTTTAATTATTTAAAAAGGTGGGGTTGGAGAGATGGCTCAGTAGTTAAAGACTACTGACTGCTCTTGCAGAGAGTATCCAGGTTTGATTCCCAGCACCCACTCGGTGACTAACAACCATTTGTACCTTAACTCCAGTTCCAGGAGATCCCACATCCTCTGTGGCCTCTGTGGGCTTTGCACAAGGGTGCAGTTACAAACATGCAGGCAAAACACTCATACGCATAAAATAATTTTTTTTAATTTAAAAAGGGAAGGTAAAGATTAAACATTCCCACTCTGTCAAGTAGAGAACAAAACTGCATACTCTTAGTCTATCAAATTATTTCATCTGGCAATAAGATCAATAAATTCTAACTGAACGTTTAAAACTAAACAAAAACGGAAACTAAGCAAATATCTGCCACTCATTTACTATTATTGCTTACTTTTCACAGATACACAAACAAGATACAACAAAAACATGTACCCCAGAAGTTGTAAGAAAACTTTGAATGCAGCTCTGGACATTTACCTTTGAAAGTAACTACTTCAATCTGTGCTTACAGGTAATCTATTGCTTTTCCTCTGAAAATGTACTGTTTCCAACACGGAAAAATTACATATTCAGGAATGCTGAACTGGTCCTTAGGATCACTTAAGTACAGGATTAATAACTAGTTACTACCACTTTAAAGCTTGGGAAACAAATTTTACTCTAGTTTGTCTCAAAGTTACTAATGTTACAATTCACTGGGTTCCTCTGAAAGGTAAAAGACCTCAGGTGACCTGATAGTTAAAACGTTCTAAGAAACTTGGAAGAAAATGTGGCAAGTCATTGGATACCAAACTCTTCATTTTCTTAAAAGATAACCTAATTCCCTGCTGAAAGCACTACGGATGTCAGGATTCAAAGTCCCTAGATTGTTGCCCCCATCTCCATTCCGATAAGAAGCACCCAGCTGCAGAGGCACAGCAGGCGGAGTCGCTCAAGTTTAACCGGGGGGAGCCAGTAAGCTCCAGCCTAGGGACAAGGGGCACCACTTGACCCGGTGTCCCACCGTTACACCCTCCCCAACCGTGCCGCCGGGAACAGACTTCTCCCGCGATGTGTGCAGGGTTAGCCTGCGCCCGCAGCCCCTGGCAACACCGTCGGCTTACCTTGAGGACCGGGGTTAGGTACTCGGCCACTTCCAGAGCCTTTCCCTTCACCGTGTTGATCACATTCTGCATCCTGTGGCCGGAGCCGCGATGGCGCGGGGCCGCAAAGCTGCGACAGGGGCCGGGGAGTCAGACGTTGTCTCCCACGCCTCCCACTCGCATCGGCCCCCGGGGGCGGCAGCGGAGGGGACCGCGCGGCCGACAGGCGACGCCACGGGACAGCCGGGGCCGGGGGAGGGGCAAGCGCGCTCCACGTCCCCCGGGCGCGCGGCCGGCGGGGCCCAGCTGTCACCTGCGCGCGAGCGTCGGGGGC